TTTCCAGGGATGACTTGTCACTGAGTGGTGTTTGCTTCCTTCCCAGGGATTTATATGTCACTGGGAAAGGAAGTATTGGGAAAGGATCAATGTTATCAATGTTCTGCTTTTCCCTCCCTCCCTCTTCCCAGGCCACACTGTTTGGGGGGTTGTCATTTGCATATCCTTCATTCCAGACTCTGAAAAGGCATAATGAATAGGGGCAATGATTTCAGATCTGGATGCTTCTTGCTGAGAAAGGGTGAATAGGAGGACCCCTGTTTTCAGAGTTCTGGAAAAGAACATGGGGTCTCTGGTGGTTGAGGCTTAAGAGGATTATATGTGGGAGTAGACTTGGGGCTCAGGCACAATCCTCCTTTTGTGATTTCAAAAAGTCAGACTGTGTTCTGGAGGGGGGCTTGAGCCAGGTGGGTCACCTCATTATGAAATTTTTTTGTACACAATTAAGAATAGGGAKAAGAAAGGTTATTATAATAAAGATGAAGATTAACAGATTTGCTAGTGCTAGGAAAACAATTTTAGCAGGTCCTATCATTGGGGAGCCTATTTCCCTTAATSAAGGCCATTGTATCCCTTTCAACCTAAGGGTGCACTTTCCATGATCTCAGGAGTTTGGGTCCTTTGGAGCATTGCAAGCATAATTAACTTTGGAACCATATTTCCCTGATGGTTTAATCATTTCCAACCTACTTGACAGACTGTGTAGAATAAGAAGAGAAATTAACAGTATAGTTCTAACTCGTAGCCCAGCTGTATGTGTAGAGAAGTATTTCAAAGGGTTGAGGGAAGAAATCCATTTAGCTAATCTGCCCCAAATTTCTTATGAAAACTAGGTGTTTTTACATTATCTATGACAGAACCGGARATTGTAATTTTAATCCAAACAAGTATTGATATGAAGAGGATCAAGTCCCATTAGGTGATTACATATATTTTGCCACTGAATCTCAGTGTCATCATATGAATCTCTAATAGCACAAAATTGGGTGATGTTACAATGACACTGAAGTCTCTGAGCCCATTGTAAATCTTGTACTTATTCTCCTAGTCAAATAATAGAATTTTTTATTTGTTGAATTTTGTTTGAATTATCCGGATCCCTATGTTCTTGAGTTAGTCAGGTTTTGGTAACATTCTTATGGAATTGTTGAAGGTAATGGGTGTTTGGACCCGCAGATGCAATGTCTCTGCTGCAGTGGAGGCAGAGGTAATGATGCCAGTCAAAACAACAGTCCCAGCTCTCAGCCACCAGATGAGCCATTTAGCGTGGTGTTTCAGTGCCTCAGTAGTTCCTGCATGAATGACTTAAGGGGCCTCCTGCCATGGTMCTTTTAATTTTACAAGGAGCCTTTGAGAGTCATAATAGTTTGTGCTGAATTTTGCCATAGAGTTCAAATGTTGTTGTAGCATACACTTTACACATTTAACATAATATAGATTTTGTGAGGCATCATATTGTATTTGAATGGG